GATTGTACACGTGATAGATACATAAAGAATTTCTTTAATACAATATATCTGTCAGTCATAATTAGTTAACATGTATATACGATTACTTTTTTTAATATGTAACACTTTTTATAGATGTGTGAGAGTCACTTCATAATTTTTATAAATTTGTAGATATGAAAATAAGATTACTGTAGGTAGATAGGCTGAAGAGCAAATATATCTTATGGACGTCTAAATATTGATTATTAAAGGACATCCGAAATCGGATATACGATGGACGTCTAATTCATGTCCGCGGACGTGCGACCATAAAATGGATAACCCAGATAGAACGAACGTCCATAAGACATCCTGTGCTATCTGGGTTACTATATTGCAGTAAGATTTTAGAGATTGAGTTAAGTAGGTTTTTTTCAGGGGAGTGCAGGAGATGGGGCAAAGCCCCTCTGCCTACACACTTACACTACAAACATATTACGTAAATGTTTTTTTTTGAATGTTTACATTAATTACTGCTTTCACTGTTATACTATTAGTCCGACACTATATCGCAAGAACAGGCGTAGCCTGTATGCGTTTTGCCATTTAAGCATATACCCAGCAAACAATTTGGTTATGGGATGTCGCGATTTTGTCGCCAACCGCCAGCAAAATTTGTAGACCAAATCCATATCCATCTGTGTCCTCTTTAGGATATAGTTTGGTGATATGTTTCAAACATACGAGATGTCAAAATGAGACCAAAATCATAACAGGTCTGCTACTAGCAAAGCAAAATCAAAGTGACGCATCAAATCTAGAACAGATTTGATCACCGTCTGTTGCCACTATTTTATCGTAAATAGATGCTGTTACGGTTTTGCGGACTATTTGGTCATAGTATTGCTAAAAGCAGAGCTGCTTGCTATCAATTTATTTGTTGTCAATTTCACTGAGATATGGAATTATTTTGGCCGCAATACTCTCATGTATATTGCAAACAGAGTTGTTGCGTCCTTTGTCTCTGTGTGCTAACAGCTTTGGCAGCATCAATGCATGTTTCCGTATTGTAGCATTTTTACAAACAGTTTCTGTTGCGCAAAGTCTGCGCCTTCAGAAATTGTTTGCTGAGTATTTAGTTCTTTGTGAATATCTCGAAAACTAAAGTCGAACGGCGGTCATATTGATAAAGAACATTTTTTCAGATTGTTAATCTTGACAACATATTTCAAGGTTATTAAAATCACTGAGGTTTTTCCTAATGTAAATAATTACCTTAGTTTTTAATAAAGTATATAGTGTAATATAATAAAGAAATATGTTGCAATTCTATTTAAATAACAGAACTGTGCGGCTTTCAGCTATACCCTTACGAAAAAGAACTATTGGCAGTAATATATTGCGGCAGTGGTACGAAAAAATTACTAGCATTGTGTGTAATTGCCAGTAATATTCTCAGTGATTCCTGTAATACCTAATAATATTCTTATGTGATTGTCAGTAATATTTATATTACTAACTTTATTTATATGTAATCGGCAGTAGTTCTTTTTCGTAAGGAAACATATAAGCATCATATTGCGTTACGCTTACTTTGTACACACTAATTTGTTACACATAATAATTATTATATTATGTACAACTGAAAATAGTTTATTGAGATAAATGGCACAAAAGATAACTTTTAATCTGATGTTCTTGGTTTTTCATCAGGAAGCAAATGGCACACTCGACGAAAACTATTAACGCCTACGTTTCATTTTACCATACTGCGACAATTTGTTGACGTTTTGATTGAAGAAAGTAACCGGATGATAAAATTCCTAAAAAATAATGAAGGACCAGTTATAAAAGATTTAGTCTTAGTTCTTAGCAAACATACACTAAACGCAATAAGTGGTAATGTATGATATTTTCTGTCATTTCTGTGTGTAAAATTACATTTTCTTAAGAACAGTCAAAGTTCAAATACAGCAAGCAATATATCAGTGTTACTATATGATAATGTGCAAAACCTAAATAATAATTTTCGGATAATCAAATCTATATTATAATATACTTATCTACGTTATAATAATATATTAAGTATATAATACA